ATTTTTCTCCTTGAAATCTCAATCATGAATGATGATCAAGTATCAAACTCCCCAAACCAAACCAGAAAAATCCACTTCAAAATGTAAATTTCAAAAAAACAAAAAAATACCATCCTAATCAAGAATGATCATCACAGATCAAACCCAAGTACCCCCTCCACCACCCCAACCCCTAAAGGTTCATTCTTTAAACCTCCATTTCCAAAACAAACACCCATTTGTATCACCATTTTAATTTTTTTCCTTTTTTTCTTCTTTTTTCCAAATGGGGTTTTTAGTTAGTCCAAATTAACTCCAATCCAATCAACACCACTGCTGATTACTATGATCGAAACCGCAAATGCCGGAGGAGAAAGAATAAAAAAATTACAAAAAACAACGACAAATTCAACAGAAACATACATAAATATAAATTGGGTATATAAAAAGATTGAGAGAAATTTCACCGACAATCATTCCACAGGTGACAAGTGTAAGCAGTCCAAAAACAATTCTCATCGTTGTCGCCATCTTTTTCTGCAAAAATTTTCAGTTCCGTAGAAATCTGAACAGAAAAATAGAGGAATTTGTTGTTTGGGTTTTCAATTTTGAGTTTAGGAAAATGTCAATTGGACCGTTTTGGGAGTATTTGTAAAGTGAAAAAATGGCAGAACTAAGAGAGACGTCTTGCAAATTTCAATAGAAATTTGTTGTACGTTGTACGTTGTGCATTGAAGTTTGAACGTCAACTTTTGTAGTCCATAGATTTGGCTCTACTCTATCTAAGCACCAATGCTTTTTGTGTTGGATTTAGATTTCGTTTAGATTTTGTTTAGTTGTTATAAATAAAAGTATATAAAATATTAATTTAATGATTATGTATATAAAAAAAAATAAGAAATGTGTTTGTTATTCAATTGAACTAACAAAATAAAAAGAGTGTGATTGTTAAAAATGGTAAGTATCAGTAATCATTTCTTATGAAGTTATAACTTATGATCATAATTGTTTAGCATCATTTATTAATAATTTAAAATTTATTATTTACATGATATTAATGATTTTCATCATAAATATTTTAATATTTTATTTATATATAATATATTTCTTATAAAATATTATTATACAATCTCTTTAATATGATTGTTATAAAGGGTGATATAATACATAAATATGTCATTTAACTTGAATCTCATTTTATATTTATGCTCTCCAATTTTGAATGTGTATAAATAGACCCTTAAACTTGTATAAAGTTGAATGAATAAACATACACGCATCCTACATGATAATTTGTGTCATACATGTATTGTGTCACATAGGAACCATGTGTCTACTTGTCCAACTTTATACAAGTTTAAGTGTCTAATTGTACACACTCAAAGTTGAAGGGCATAAATGTGAAATGATGCCGAGTTAAATGACACATTTATGTATTAGCCTATAAAAATTGTATATGCAATGAATGTTATTGTTGTAAAGGTAGAATGTTGCTATAGATTAATAGAGTCAACTAAATATGGTAGGATTTTCTATCTTCTCTTCAGTGGCTCTGCCAAATCCATCCGCACTCATATTAGATCCTTAAAAAATATACTACGTACATTGAAAGGAATTGAAACACATTCGGTGACATTATTAAAGAATCTAATCAACATAGCCACTAGTGATACAGAACAAAAACTCAACTCCAAAATCTTATATTGAATAGATACACAAGATTCATCCTCAAGTATATAATTCAGATGTTGCTTCATCTCTCTCCTCATTCTCTGTCACATAAAAATATTTTCAGTTTTTAGTAAATGGGTAATGACCTTTGTTAATGATGAAAAGACATTGAGTTGAAGTTTCATATAGCAAGAAGATAATTTTTAAAAAGATTTTATTTTAGGTGGAAGTCTGTTAAGGTGAGGGGTATATGTGGTTCATTTAATTAACGATGAAGCTATTTTTTTTTATATTAAAATCTAGCGAAGGGTATATATACTCCATTAATAACTTAAAGGTATTGTAACTTTTTTTCGTATATAATACAATATATTTATTTATTTTTGAACATTTTAACTATCTAAAGCATGAAGAAAACAGTGTTCTTAAGTTTGTTCTTATATGCGTGACATGAGTATACAAATTGATTTACTTAATTTTATTTATACCAACTTATATATAAACATATTTTATTTATTGTATAAATTAAACTAGTTTAGATTTGGTTTTATTTTTGGGGTCTAAAATCTGTATAAAAGTTGATGTATATTTACTTTTATGTTATTTTTATATATTTGTACTTATGAAATTAGTATACAAATTGATATCAATCGTGAATGTAAGGTTCTTCGCTAAATTTAATAATACTATTATCCATACTAAAAAAGGATCTTGTTCTCAAAATACAATGATTATCGTAGAGTTTTAAATAAACAAAAGAAAGAATGATGATATGTATAGTAACTAATAAATAAGGCTCATGGATGAATTTTCAAAGAGAGAATAGAGGAAGATAAAAATCTTATGAGATTACCTCAATATTTTCTTTTCATTTTATCTTTACTTATTATTTAATAATTATATTTTATTATTTACCTTATTTTTTTATAGTAGCTCTACCTTGTTCAAATTATGATATGCGACATTATGTAAAAATGGAGAATAATAAAATCTATTCAAATATTTTATTCATTAAAACAATACAATACAACATAGTACATTATGAAACAATACGTAACAACCGTCCAAACAAAGTGACTAAAGAAACTTGTAGTTTAGAAATGATTTTTTATGTACATTTGTTTATTATTAAAAAAGGAAAAAATTGACAAATCTATCCTCGAACTATCGTAAATGGTAGGGATGTTCATGGTTTGATTTGGATCAGTTATTAGTTAAAACCAAAACCAAACCAATTTAAATTGGTTTTTAAATTTCTAAAACCAAACCAAATCAAATAAAAAAATAACCGTCGATTTGGTTAGGTTTTTTTGGTTCTAAAGAAATAAATTTGTTGAGGACATATGCATCTCGATAGACACAAACACTTAGTACATGAATAATTCATAAATAAGCTATTACATGAACAAAGTGATTCATCCAATGTACCAAGTTTCAGAAACTAAAAAAACTCATTGTCAATAGCATAAAGTTGGTTCAATATTCTGGAGATCTCAACATCTTATCAATAAAATTACACCTTAAAATATTGAGAAATTACTTCTCAAAAAAAAAAACACCAATATTTCATAGTCAAAATTAATCAATTACCATCTTCTTTAGCTTGAGCTTTAAATTATTCGATGCTACGTTAGAAATTTTTATTAAAGAATAGAGAAAGTGTGATGTTTGAAGTAATGAATATTGAGGGATTTAGACTTAAGGTTTTATTAGTTGGGCTAAAATTTAAGTGTTGGGCTTCAGAAAATAGTAAAATTATATACTTAAGTTAAATAAAATTTATCTAAATACTTATATTTTATTTATAAATAATTATAAAATTTATATATATAACTTCTCAGTTCGGTTTGGTTATTTTTGCGGTTAATTTTTAGTAAAACCAAAATCAAACCAAATAATATCGGTTTTTCAAAATTTAAAACCGAACCTAACCAAATCCAACCAAATAACGCTTTTTTAAATCGGTTTGGTTCAGATTGCGGTTCAGTTTGATTTTATAACCATAACCATGAACAACCTTAGTAAATGGTATGCAGATACCCTCCGTCATATTTTTGGGACATTGGTGCCCCTGCCGTCTAAAAACTAGAGCATATATTCCCTTCACTCTAACGGAAGACTAAATAGGGACACGTGACACAATCTTATCCGTCGATCCGATATTTAATAAATGTCGGGTCGGTGGATAAGATTATGACACGTGCATGTCCGTACTATAAATGATATATATGCTCTAGTTTTTTAACGGCAGGGGGCACCAATGTCCCAAAAGTATAACGCAGGGTATCTGCATATTATTTATGATAGTTGGGGAATATATTTGTCGTTTTTCCCTTAAAAAAGAGAGTAGTTAAACAGAAAATCATGTAAAAATATTAAAGGGATATATTTTAGGAAGAAAATCAAGAAAAAAAGAATTTTAGGAAGACAATTTGAAAGAATTGCATATTATTTTTTGGCATGAATTACGGAAGAAATCAAAGAGAAGAAAATATTGAAAAGAGATATCTTAGAGAAAAAAAATTAGGAAGAAAAAGTATTTAACAATCATTGTTAAATAGGAGTAGTATATTTATATTTTTTTCTCCTAATAAATTATCTTCAATTAAAGGAAAAATTATGCTGACAAACATTTATAGTGTATTATTTAATTTAGTTATAGTTTTAGATATTTATAATTCATGATTATATTTTTTAAAATTTTGCTATAAATTCGTATAATTTGGTTTTTAATTATATAAATCCAGAACTAATATAAACTTACCTAGCTATTGTATACAATTTGTTGATACATATAATTTGTATAAGATATGAAAAATTCAATAATAAATTATCATTGTTGTATATTGACAAACGAAATATCCAAACGAAATTTTGAAAAATTCCTAAATGTATAAATAAATAATTTGTATACAATTTTACAAGTGAAATATACAAACAAAAATAACCATATCGAACACAATTATAGTTTTGAAGCATAATTAAACTTTTTTTTTTATTAATTTGGAATACTTTTATTGATAGCTCACGAACAAAGGAAATACACACTCACTTGGGCCTATTGCCTTGCCCAAGTCTATAATGACAAAACGAAAAAATAAATAAAATTCTACCGACTTTCTCCTACGTAATTAGATAAACTGTAGCTAAAGAAACTTATTAAGTTTAATTTCTACTTAAAATTTTCTCACAATTAAACCCTATAAAATTTTGGACTAATTTCGCAGGTCCATTTTTTGCGGCGACTAGAAGCGGTGCGAAAGGGTTTAAAAAAAACCCAAATACATAGAAGAATAAATCTTCATTAAGCTAAAATTTAGCCGCGTCGGCTGCTGCATGCAGAAAATACCATGCCAGAGAGAGGACGCAGCGGCGGTAGGGGGCCACTTTCCGTCAAGCTTCGCCGGCGTATTGTATCCTGTAAGAACAATTGCATCGCCGATGAAGAACTCGTTGATCACCTCCGTAAATCTTTTCGGGCGGACTATTATAACTTACAGCTACAGCCGTTCACCAGTCAGGTTCAAAATATTCTCCAATTGATTAACCCTCCGATAAAGAAGCCAAAAACAGACAGTACTGAGCAGATTTTGGATGGTGATGGAGAATTGTCGACTCTAGCGAGCATCTCTGAAAGTGATGACTCTTACTCTTGCGGAGAAAAGCCCGATTTAATGCAGATTATGCTTCGAAATACTTATAATCAGAAGGCAAATAGTATTCCCAAGTCAAAAAAAATTGAATACGATGCAAATAGCATTTCCAAGTCAATATTTTTTGAATACGATGTGATTCATGATAGCAATGAGGATGGAAAGGGGAAGAAGATTGATGTGGTGAAAAGGGATTTGTCGAAGCTACTAGGGATTGGTGATAGTGATAGGAATTGTGGGACAATGTTTAAAGATTTGGGCGGAATGGATGAGGTGTTGGAGGAATTGAAGATGGATATTATGGTTCCGCTGTACCATCCTCAGGCGACAAGGTATCTCGGAATTAGGCCTGTGTCAGGAGTACTTTTCCATGGACCACCCGGGTGTGGGAAAACAAAGCTAGCTCATGCTATTGCAAATGAGGCTCGAGTTCCATTCTACAAACTTTCTGCTACTGAGTTGGTCTCTGGAGTTTCAGGTGAAATTGATTCTTTCATCCTTCTTAATAGTGATTCTATCTTTGCAAGCATAATTTATCAGAGAATTGGTAAGGAAAATGTGTGGTTTATTACTTATTTTCTTGTGTTTGGTATATAAGCAACAATTATTATCCAAATATTGGTGTATAATCTAGACAAATATTATGAGAGTCGAGGGTGGAGTTGGTGGGGATAGGTCTACAGACTACAAGGGTGGGGAAGATGAGGTGTTTTGGAGGGCGGAGAGGACAAAGTCAATGTGGAACATCGCCTGTTTAGTGGAAGTCATTTTCCCCATTTTCAAGGAACTTTTTTCGAGAAGAAAAGTTCTCCAACATGAGAAAACTGGAAATATTTTCTGAAAAAGTAATATCGAACAAACCCTAACTATTTGATGTTTGATTTTGTTCACGTTACTATTTTCTATTAGCAGACATTTTGTAGCATAGTTACTAATAGTTGAACTTTTGAAGCCTTTTCTTAAGTTTAACTTCCCTTAGAAAATGAATATGCTTCCAAGGAATGGGGGTGCGTTTTCTTATTGTTGTCAATTTACAGTCTTCTCTTTGGGTGTTTATTGTTCTCTCGAGGCATTCTAATTGGGGTGTTCTCCATATCAGGTGCATCAGAAGAGAACATAAGGGAACTGTTCTTAAAAGCACACAGGACGGCACCATCTATTGTGTTTATTGATGAGATTGATGCAATTGCTTCCAAAAGAGAAAATGCACAGAGAGAAATGGAGCGGCGCATAGTAACACAGCTGATGACATGCATGGATGAGTCACATAGACCTGTAAAACCTGATGATAATGCAAAGGGAACTACTTTACCTACTGATAAAAAAAATACTGAAGCAGAATCAGATGATGAACCTGGTTATGTCCTAGTAATTGGGGCCACAAATAGACCTGATGCTATTGACCCAGGATTGAGGAGGCCAGGAAGATTTGACCGTGAATACGCCTTGGGTATTCCAGATGAAAATGCAAGGATGCAGATTTTGTCTGTGCTTACTCGTAACCTAAGAGTTGAAGGTGCATTTGATCTCATGAAGATAGCTACATCAACCCCAGGATTTGTTGGAGCAGACTTGGCTTCTCTAACTAATAAAGCAGGTAACTTGGTACTGAAGAGAATAATGGATGCGAGGAAGGTTGAGCTTTCAAGAGAATCGGTAGATGGTGAAGATGCCGAAGAATGGTGGAGAAAGCCATTGTCACCGGAAGAGAAAGAAAAGCTCAGCATTAACATGGCTGATTTTGAGGTATGCTGCAGAGAATCTTGATTTACCTTTATGAGAATTATACCCTAAGTTGTGACCCAACCTGTAAATTCCTGTATATAATTGGCATTTGGCATTTTATATCCTGTCACTCAAACTACAGTGCTCCTTCCCTGCACCAGCTTAAGCAAGTATAAGAACCCGGGTTTTTCATTTACATGTGCATGCAAAAATTACCTTTTCTACTGTTTCAAAATTGCAGTGGTTGATTTTGAGTTTCACAGTTTAATATGTATAATGAATTGCTTTACCCGTGTTTTTAGTTCTCTTGATGTTTATAAGATTCACATGATAATGCTCTTAAAGGATGATGCACCCTCCTTCAAAAAGGAGGGCGCATCATCCTTTAAGAGCATTATCATGTGAATCTTATACGTGTTAAGAGATTTAAACAATGCGTATGTGGGTATGGCGATCAATGAAATCTAGAATGGACCATGGGAGAACAAGGTTCAAATTCCAACAAAGGCACACAAAAGTTAGTTGATTTCTTTCCATTTTTCTAAGTATTTGGTGTACGGAGTTACCCTGGAACTTTTCATGTGGAAGTAGCTGGTAGCCAGTGAATTAGTCAGGTGCATAGAAGTTCGCTTGAACACTACCATTATCGACAAGGTGGATTAAGTTTTGCATGTTTGATATATATTTTTATCTTTTAGTGATCTCGTATCTAGTACTCTCTTTCTGTGTATGGGATAATCTTTCATGTAAAACTGGAACAAGCTGTTTCATACCGCCTGCTAATAATCATATTATGTAGGAGGCAGCTAAATTGGTTCAACCCTCATCTAGAAGAGAAGGTTTCTCCGTTGTCCCAAATGTAAAGTGGGAAGATGTTGGAGGCCTTGATCCGTTAAGACATGAATTTGAGCGTTACATTGTCAGGCGTATAAAGAATCCTAAAGATTACATGGTCAGTAGATCTCTTAAATGTTTTCATATGCTTTTCTTTAAGCCGAGGGTCTATGAGAAACAACCTCTCTACCTCCCAAGGTAGGGGTAAGGTCTGCATACTCTCTATCCTCCCAGACCCCACTTGTGGGATTACACTAGGTATGTCATATGTGTTTCCTTTAGCAAGCATCCTTTTTAGGACCACGGTAATCTTCTTTGTATCGTTCCAATTTTATCTAGAAATGGTCCAATTTTTTCTTCAATTGAGATCTGAGTCCATCTTCATGGGTACTTTTGGCCAAAATTATCCCTAATCTTTTTCTTTCTCAATAAAAAAAAACACTCAAATTGTTTGTTAATTTTTCTTATGAGTACAGCAAGTATAAAACTTCTAAAAGCTGTTTCATATTTCAGGGTTTTGGAGTGGACTTGGAAACAGGATTCTTGCTTTATGGTCCCCCAGGATGCGGTAAAACATTAATTGCCAAGGCTGTTGCTAATGAAGCTGGAGCAAATTTTATACACATTAAGGTTCCTGCACATTTCTATTTTCCTAATGACTTCTTTTTAAGGTTTTGCACAACTGAGGCATGACATGTTTTCTCATTTACTGATCTCCATCCAGGGACCTGAGGTTCTGAACAAGTTTGTTGGTCAAAGTGAGCTAAATATTCGGACAATATTTAACAATGCAAGAACATGTTCTCCATGCATTGTATTTTTCGATGAGGTGCTTGTCTCTCTTTCCAACTACTCTTAGCTCTGTCTAATAGCCATCATCTTTTCATTTCGATGAGTTGGTCCACCTTAAAAGCGCTGCAGAAGCTTTTACTCATTTTTATTTCCTTCGAAATTTTTACATGCACCTGTAAGATGCTTTGTACAAAGTAATACATACTACATTCCGTAGGAAAGATTGTTTTATAGTGTTGCTTCAGTACCCTAAATTATTAATGATAGAATAAGACAAATAGAAAGTTTCAGAATTCTGGTGCACTTATAAGATGCTTGTTGCCAGACAGTTTAATGCATAGTGGACAGTGTTCAGACACGAGTACTAAGTTTGGTAGTGATGTTTTTATTACATGACAATAGTATACCACAGAAAAAGATAAAAGAGTTTTTGTGAAAAACACATGATTGTCAACCCTTTTTTCCTTCTTTTCCTTCTTTTACATTTCTTTTAATTCCTTCATATTTCTACAGATGGATTCATTGACAACTGAGCGTGATAAGGAAGAAACTGGGACCGTTGAAAGGATTTTGACTCAGGTTTCTATGATGGAGCATATGTTCTTGACAAAAGATGACATTGTGCTCTTCTTAACCTTTGCTAATGTGAAACTTCTCTAATTATTGCAGCTACTAACAGAACTAGATGGTGGTGAAGAGAGAAAAGGTGTTTATGTGATTGGTGCCACAAATAGGTTTTTTTCATTCTTCTGGATATTATGTGCATTTGTTTTATTGGAATGAAGATTGGAAGTAAATGATTCACGTCCTATTTTGGTCCTTATTCTTATTATCGTGTTTGCAGGCCTAATGTCATGGATAAAGCTCTTCTTCGACCTGGAAGGTTAGGGAGACTCCTATATGTCCCTCTACCTACTCCAGATCAGCGTGTACTGATTTTAAAAGCCCTTGCCCGGAAAAAACCTATAGATTCTAGTGTCGACTTGGTGTCCATTGGAAGAGACAATGCCTGTAAAAGATTAAGTGGAGCAGACCTATCCTCACTGGTTTGTTCTAACCGCTTGTTTTTCCTACCTTCACTACTCTCCCCGCGCACACACAAAAAAAGAAGTGAAAGCGATGGAACTTGTCACATCTTTTTTTCATGGTTGGTACTTTTATCAAAGGTCTGTTTCCTTTATTGACTTTTACCAATTGCTTAAACGTGCTTAGATGAATGAAGCTGCAATGCTTGCACTTGAAGATAATTTGGCAGCCATAGATACAGGTTGTGGTGACACATCATCGACTATCAAGGAGTCACATTTCAAATGGGCTTTGAAGAAAATTTCTCCGTCTGTCTCCAAGGAGGTAAAGCTGATTCGGTGACTGGGTATCATTTACAATTAAGGCACCTAATATTGTGCGCTACTCGCCTACTATCATGGTTTCTTATTATCCTTTTTTTTTTTGGGTGGATGCAGCAAATAAAATACTATAAGGATTTTAGAAAAGATTTCAGAGCAGCATAAAAGCCTTGCTATAAAAGGAGGGGAAAGAAGATGCTTAGGGTGGTGGCCATGGGAGAAATATTTTGGATATTGCTGTTTCTTGTGAATATTCTTTGAGCATAGTTCTTTTATTCTTTTACTATTTTAGCAACATAATTCTTTGCACTTGGAAATATGCTAACCATAGTGTTAATGGTCATATAATGAAGCTTTAGAGACTATGTATTTATTGTCCTCTGACCATTTTGGATGCTGTTGAATTCAATAAAGCAATCTCTTTCTGAAATCTTGAATGTATAGTACATTCTTTTTGAACACTTACTTAATTTGAGATTTGTCTAATGTTTGCCATCATTCTGTAATAGTTATGCAGAATTGGGCTAAAATTACCCTTAACGTATGAGAAATGGTTCTCGAATACCCTCCATCCATCTATCTATCTATCATCGACATCATGAGTACTACAGTCACTGTTCCATTAATTAAATTCATTATGTATGAGAAATGGTTCTAGTTTGCTTTTCAGTTATGTATGTTTTGGTTACCCTAACAAAATTCGTTAGGTATGATATGCAAATATGGAAATACGTGGAGCTATAAGGCACCATCAAATGAAAATTCAATTTGCTCGTAAAAAATTTCCATTAGTTAGTTACAACTACAACTAACTTTCCCTCCATAATAGTTGAAGTCTAATTTTCTCTTACAAATCCTATTCATCAACCCAGTTCCCAAATATTGTTTCTTAATTCACTGCTTTGCCCATGCCCGTTCCTAATAATATTAACGTTATCATCAATCAACACAATTAGTGATTTGGCTAAATGTTTGCACCAAAAAGAAACATGCTAATATTTTATTTAGATGACAACGACAACAACAAAATTCAGTGTAATCAACAAACTAGTGTTAAGAATTCATCTTAAAGTATACTGTTACTAATTACTGAGAAAGGCTAATAACTTAAACATTAACGAGGGCAAAACACAAGTTTTCACCCTTTCGGAATGCCCACAATTGCATCTTCATACCAGCTCTCAAACCATTCCTTCTTACCACATCATTCCAGTGTTTAACCAACACATAACTTGAACTTGCTTTCCCATTGTTTTTGTTCATTGTCCATTTTCTCAGATTTATTTCACCTTTTTTATGCGAAGGCTCAATCAACATCACATTCATCTCACACATTTTATTAGCCTCATTGCGCCCATTCAAAAGTTGTTCTTCCTCAGGCTTTAGAAACTGATTACTCATCTGCTTTTGTGGGATTGAAAACCTTCCCTCTGCTGCTTTAACATCCGTCTCGAATAGTGTTTTTTCAATGACCAATTTAGCTGATTCAAGTAAACCCCCATGGAATGTAATCAGATTCTTGAATTCGATACTCAATTCTCTGTTGACTATAACAGCAGGAGGGGCGACGACTACAGGTCTAAAATTGCCGTTGGCTTCTTCTCGTGATCTTTTTCGGTTAACGGGCAATGATGCAGAATTACTACTACTTCCTCTGTAATTGGTTTTGATTCCTCTGTTTTCCCTATTATCAGCCGCCTTATCTCTGTTTTCGAGTGATTCTTGATTGTTGACAGTGACACTAGCTGGTCTTACAAGTTTATCAGCAATAGCAAACCAATCGTGTTTGATCGGTATGTTTCTTTCCTCATTATCAACTTGTACTACTCTGTGTTCTTCTTCAGAATTATTTTCCAGAACTTTAACTTCTCTTGGACGCGCGTTTGGCCTTGATCGTTTTCCCCTTGGGATGGTGAAATCAAGAACTGGCTTTTCAAAATCAACAACTTCTGGGAATGAGGACACGATAGACCGAATATTCTGAGTGATCCTTTCTTCTTTCTTGATACGAAATTCTTCATCTTGTTCGGCGATTAAGTTGTCTTCTTCACCATACATGGATTTTAAGTAAGAGACTTCAGAGACCGCAAGTAAATAATCCATACTACTCATGTTGGGTGTGATTTTCATGCCCGAAAAATCGTCTAGACTCAACAATGTGTAAACCATATTGTATGTTAGTTGAATAAATCAAAACAGTATAGAGAGAGAGAGAAAAAATTGAAAGAAATATCAGTGTTGTATAGAAAAAACAACACACGATTGTGAATAAGGAGAAAGTGGTTAATTTATAGAATTAAGAAGAATTCATAACCTCAATGGTTTGGGTTTGGAATAAAAAAAAACCTTTTTAGTTTTGGAAACCTTAGTAGAAAAACGTGTTTTTTTTTTTCTTTCAGTTAACCTTTTTAGGTTTTGGACAACTTCTATTAATGAATTAAGGAAATAAAATAACGTGTGTTTTTTTTTCCAGTTCTTTTCTTTCAAATTATAATTATAACTACTAATCCTAATCAAAGAGGTCTACCATATTTTGGGCCAGCGTCTTTCTACATAGAGTAGGAGAAGCAAAATAATAAGTAATATACTCTCTTCGTCTTAATTTATATGACACTTTTTTGGCAATTCAAAATTTAAACAAGTCTTTTTTTTTTTTTTTTTTTTTTGGTAATTTGTGAAAAACTTACCATAACCAACAAAGCAACAATACACACTATATAGCACCTAAGAACCAATACCACCTTCTAGGAAGGGTGTAAAGGATAGAGAGGCCTCAACAAAATCAAGTAAACTGATTACAAGAGTCGCCGCTCATTCTGGACAGTGGCAAATGTCTCTTACCTTTTGGACCGTCGCAAATGTCCAAGTAATCTCCAATCTTACCTGACTAAACCATATTTGCAGATTTTCCAGGCCAACATTGTTCCACGCAACGCGCAATTGGTGAGTTCCAAACTGTGTGTTTTATACTCATGTTTATGTACAGATTACATCTATTCCTCCAACTACCTTACAGTTGCTTAATACACACACCACATCAAAGTCGTGATACTCTGTAAATTAGCAATTGCATTGATCAAACTCTTGCACATCGAAATCCACCACACTTGCTCACTTTTTTACTTTATCTGTTTCCAACTTTGGAATTCTCGCATTAGTATCTATACATTGGCCATTCACTTTTAAAAAAATTAAACTCGCCGGTCACCATGCTCATTCTGAACTGCTACTAAATTGTTAAAAACTGAAAGCACCACAATTTGCTTGGGGCTATACCAAATCAATTAGTTTATTATATACTATTGGAAAATTCCGTTCATTTCTTGAAGATATTTCCTACTTATATTAGCTATCTACAATAAAAGTAGAATCAAGTATAATGTTTCCTTTAACATTTACTGATACACATCAACTCGTGCAATTAATTAACATTGATAATCACTTTCCCGTCTGTACCTCTAACCATGCAGATCCAGCATACATTGTCACTGAAACAGAAACAGAGTGTACCCATTAACAAGATACCAAAACTGTCCGTTGAATGGGTGATGAGAGCTTTAGTTGTTCACAGGGGTTCAGTTATACCTTACAAAAAAACCAACGCATGAAGGCACTTTCTGAATGATAATATTAGTTGACGGTACTATCATTGACAGTTTTACTATCGTTCATATTTACTTTTGGCATAATACATATACTTGACTTCATAAACATGACCCTTAACTTGACTTCAACTAACAATATGACCTTTAAATTTGGGTGTACGCAACTAGACACTTAAACTTATATAAAATTGAACAAACAAACACATTCGTCCAGCATGACACTTTTGCATCCTACATGTGTCTACTTGTTCGATTTATACAAGTTAAAATGCCTACTTGTGCACATCCAAAGTTAGAGGACGTAGTAACCTGATGAAGCCAAGTTAATGGTCATGTTCATGTATTATGCCTTTACTTTGCTATTGACATCAGCGTCACTCAAATTAATACTAGGGAACAAAACTCCAAGCAACACATATTGAAACATGGAAGGACACTCTCTACATTTGCAACTATATTCTTCGGCTTACAAGACCAAAAACTAATGAACTTCCAAATCGACAAACTTCAGAATGGTCCTCTGTTATACTTAATCCGCCAAGTTGTCCATGCTAACGTAATTGGTAAAACTAAATAATGTCCTGAACATTGGTACTTACATAAGAAGAACAATCAAACGACATCAGTGTGCCAATTTAAATCGACAAGACGAATAAAAACATATCGAGGTGTGGATGTTACTGAAAATACATTTCAATAACACACGTATTATTAAGTGTTGGGTTTAGCAAGGTGTGAACGGGAAATAAAAAGAGAAAATGGAAAGTGGAAGAACCAATGAAAGTGGGGGAACCAATTTTGGAGGGAAAATGAAAAGTCATCATTGCAAAAGTGCAAATGAAAGGTCATTTTTACCATATCGGTAGAAGAAAGGAAATTGTTGTCCTTATATTAGGAAACACTTCATTTAGTTCTTAAAGGGTTAAGAAGAAGGTGCCCCCTTGCGCTGTCGTCGTCGCTCGCTCGGCCTCGGCTTCAGCTTCGGATTTGGCAAATGATTGATTGATAATATTTTTGGACAAAATTTATTTAATCAATCTTGTTAAATCATTTCCTTTCTCTTATAAATTAATTCAGAATGTTAATTAAATAACAGAATTAATTTGACGCAACTGAATTTATTTGAAATTCACGTGTAACGGTAATCCTTCCAAAAAGTCATTACTTTTTCCAAACGGTAATCCTTCCGAAAAGTCGTTACTTTTCCCAAAGGACACAATGTTCTGGAAAAACGGGTCTGAATAGATTTTCTTAACAGACGCGTTCCTTGCTGCAAATGGCTATAAATAAGAGGTCTTTTTCGTTTTTTCAAACACTGAAATTTTTCCTCTCTGCATACATTTTCTTACATAAATAAAATTATCGATCGACTGAGTCTGTGTGTGCTCTTGTTGCTGTTCTTGCGTTCGCTGAAGTTATTGAAGTTTGAGGTACTGCTACTTCTTTAACAGGTTAATCCGTTTTATCTTGGGAGGAATTAATCTACAACCTCGGGTACAGTGAGGGGATTAAATTTCTTAAGGAAACATAGTGGTTTCTGTGGACTCGGATTAAAAATCATTCCGTCAATTTCATCCTTTTTCTGTTTCTGTATTTTTTGACTAACCTGAATACAGGAGATAACATTAAGCCCTCAAACCCTCACAAGTTGTCACCTTCAATACTCCCAATCTGGACAAACACGACTTATAGCTTAACACACTTAACTATAAACTGCCGCAGATGCAACAATATCAACAAAAATCAATCTCCATTATTGAACACACCAGGTATCCCCTTCCCCTGTTAGTACGCAATTAAAACACTTTCCACCTTTCGCAACAAAACAACTTCACTGTGTCGCAATGAAAACACTTCCTGCCTTTCGCAACAAAATCACAAATAACAAATTTGCTTACAGTTGTAAGTTCCAACCTAATTTATTGATATCAGAATATTATAGTTAGTAGCTGAGTCAACATAATTAGTTATAGCTGAAGGATACAGTTAGCGGGAAAGTTGGTTAAATAACAGAATTAGTTAGATAATCGGCTAGAAAGAAATTAGTAATAGTACTGGTAACTCACGCCTAGTATTATATTGTACAAGTACATATATCATAATTCAAACTATAAAGACACCTATTGGACAACGAGCCCTAATAATATTAACGTTACAATCAATCAATACAATTCATGATTTGGCTAAATATTCGTACCAAAAAGAAACATGCTAATAATTTATTTAGATGACAACAACAACAATATCCAATGTTATCAACAAATTCATCTAATATTAAAGAGGGCAAAACACAATTTTTCACCCTTTCGGAATGCCCACAATTGCATCTTCATACCAGCTCTCAAACCATTCCTTCTTACCACATCATTCCAGTGTTTAACCAACACATAACTTGAACTTGCTTTCCCATTGTTTTTGTTCATTGTCCATTTTCTCAGATTTATTTCACCTTTTTTATGCGAAGGCTCAATCAACATCACATTCATCTCACGCATTTTATTAGCCTCATTGCGCCCATTCAAAAGTTGTTCTTCCTCAGGCTTTAGAAACTGATTACTCATCTGCTTTTGTGGGATTGAAAACCTTCCCTCTGCTGCTTTAACATCTGTCTCGAATAGTGCTTTTTCAATGACCAATATAGCTGATTCAAGTAAACCCCCATTGACTGTAATCAGATTCTTGAATTCGATACTCAATTCTGGAGGAGGGGCGACGACTACAGCTCTAGCAACAGGTCTAAAATTGCCGTTGGCTTCTTCTCGTGATCTTTTTCTGTCAACGGGAAATGGTGCAGAATTACTACTACTTCCTCTGTTTTCCCTATTATCAGCCGCCTTTTCTCTGTTTTCGAGTGATTCTTTATTGTTGACAGTGACACCAGTTGGTCTTTCAAGTCTAGCAGACCAATCTGGTATATTTTTTTCCGCATTATCAACTTGTACTACTCTGTGTTCTTCTTCAGAATTATTTTCCAGAGCTTTAACTTCTCTTGGACGCGTGTTTGGCCTTGATCGTTTTCCCCTTGGGACAGCGAAATCAAAAACTGGTTTTTCAAGATCAAGAACATGTGGGTATGATGACACGATAGACCGAATATTCTGAGTGATCCTTTCTTCTTTCTTGATACGAAATTCTTTGTCGTGTTCGGCGATTAAGTTGTCTTCTTCACCATACATGGATTTTAAGTAAGAGACTTCAGAGACAGCGAGTAAATAATCCACACTACTCATGTTGGGCGTGAATTTCATGCCCGAAAAATCGTCTAGACTCAACAATGTGTAAACCATATTGAATGTTAGTTGAATAAATCAAAATACAGAAAAAATTGAAAGAAATAATCGTGAATAAGGAGAAAGTGTTAAATTTATAGAATTAAGAAGAATTCATAACCTTAATGGTTTGGGTTTGGCATAAAGTAGAAACCTTTATGGTTTTCTACAAAGGTTAAATTAATAAATAAAGCGTTTTTTTTTTTTCCAGTAAGTTCTAATGTAACTAGTATTAGTAATCCTAATAAAAAAAGAGAAGCAAAATATCCTATACTAAAAGTATATATACACTCTTA